TCAGAGATGTTCTGAATTTGTCGAGTTTCACCATCATGGAGCTGCAAGCTTATGAGGCTCGGCTTCAGAACTAATTTTGTCCTGAGCTCGGTTTGACGAGCTGCTGACCCACATCAGCTCAAGAAGTGCAACAAAAATACAAAGTGTGCAACTGGGAATGTAGGTTAGGAATATAAAAAAAATTAATTACTAAGTAAACGTCGTCTCCTGTCAGGACACCGACTAAACCAGTTCCAGCTGAAGAGCTCCTGTCTATCTGTCTCAGGTCAGTGGACATCATTCAGGAAACTGTCCTGTGGGAAAATCTGTCACTTCATCACACAGTGGAGTCTCTCTGATTGGTTGACGCGCCTCATCGAGCTGCAAATATTCAGATTTTGCAACTCCAGCGTTCGACGCGCATCAAGCACGTTGAATGCTCTAAACGTGCCGCAGCACTTCCCAACGCTCCTTGACGCGCATCCGCCATAGGCTTTACATGTAAACTTGACAAATTGCGTTTGGTGTGAATGCAGCATAAGAAGTGCAACAAATTACAAAGTGTGCAAATGGGAATGTCGGTTCGAATATAAAAAAATTACATAGCTAAGTAAACACCATCATCCTCACGTGCTCATAAAACACAACAGTCACATAACAAACACCAGTGTTTGTTTATTACCATATTTATCTCATTAACTTAGACTCACTTACTTCAGTTTTCTGATGAGTCTTTAACCTGTATCAGTGATCTTACTTCTCTGAGTCTTGTTCTGGATATTTGGCTGTTTTTCCGATGAGTCCTCTCACAGTTTTAGCAGCAGCCAGAGGACACAGAGGATCCAGATTAATTGAGATCCAAAACTTGAGTCCTAATTTTGATCATTTACTCAAGTGATTCAGTCACAATCCAGCTTTATTAATTTAAATCAACGAGCTCAGCTGTGTTATTTGTCTCAGTGTTGACAGATGATATCAGTATTTTCCTGTGGTTTAACTGATAGACAGTTACTAGTTATAAATGTTTCTAAATTAAACTTTTATGCTACGCAATATCTACATACTGTAGTTCATTTGAGGTAATGTGATGTAAATCAAACTTATTGTTTTTGTAAAAATTGTGTTAGACAGCAACTATTACTTGCCCTAGTTTACAACAAATTGCAGCGATCACAGTTACTGAACATGTTCTATTAAGAGTTCAGAGTATCTCAGGCAGATAACTTGCATAAGATCTTAACTTCAAACTAAGCTTTAAACCTCTCCAGTGCTCCATTTCCTTTCCCAGGATTACTCTTCTTTTCCCAACTCTCATCCTCACAGCTTTTAGTTGCTGTTCCTTATTAGAAGATGAGAGAATAACTTTTCACTTTGGATCTGGTGTCTGTGATTTCATTGTTCTCCCTCTCATTATGTCTACATTTGGGGATTATTTTACCGACTCATGTCACACACCAAGACTGTCTTAAATGTATTTGATGATGTTCAAATGTAAACAAATAACTTGTGATGCTTGGCAACTAAGTGTAATTATGCTGCTTTGCTGATGTATTACAAATTATACAACTGAGGTTTGGTAGTGAATGGTGCATATGTGTTGTTTTTCTATTGCAGATTATATACATAAACAAAATGCACTGAAAATGTTGTTATTCATCAGTTATTGTGACTTTAAAATTTTATTTCTCAAAAATAAAAA